CATAGCAGGAAAAGCTAGTATTCTGTCAAAGAATGATAAATAGAAGGAGACAGATATAAGTTTAGTGGTACATTTTTCTCATGCAAAATGGCCCACATCCTGATCTCTAGTGAAAGAATCTCAGGGGGTAGAGAGAGAAAATGCTGCAAGGCATGCAGAGGAATTTGGAAATGTAGTCCAAGTGAGGAGAAACAGGGATAGAGAGATGAATGGGCTGGATTTGCTTTATTGTAATGAACTAAAATGGAGGTGGGCAAAGTGTGTCCCATTGGCTGCACAAACTCTCCTTTTTGCAGTTGCCAATCCCTCCTGGTTCCCCTAAAACCCTGCACTTGGGGATTATCTTTTTTTAAAATGACTACAAACATTGCAAATATGCCCCCAAATGCAGCAATTTGTCTTGGTCAATCCCACTCTCTCCCCACAATCACTAAGTAACATTTGATCAAAAATGCAAGTAGAGAAAAGTGGAAGTGATTTACTTTCACTTCTGGGTCATATTTTTTTTTTTTTTTGGCCATTGTTGATCAGAAAATGCAACGATATGACATGTTGTGGAGGTACACAGGTAAAAACTTCCTACTTCCTTTTGTGATAGTTCACCCCAATATAAACTGTCATAGAATTTACTATAGAACTCCATGATACTGGTATTAAGATAATTTGGAAGCTGATAAATAGAGTCAAACATTCGCCTAAATGTTTCCTGTTTATCAGTGGGGTCAATGGGTCGGACTGGAATTAGGATGTCAAATATGGTCAGTTGTTACATTAAATATGTGCAATACTAATCACATTGTCTGGCATCCTGTTAATAAATTACAATATTGTAAATCTACTTTACAGAATTGCAACTCTCTTTTTTAGTCATTGTATAATTGCAATGAGCAATCCTCCCAACACACCTTGCAAGCCATGCAGCTCCTCATTTTTGGATTATTGGAGAATGAGGAGATCAGGGGCAACACATACAGCTATATTCCTTTTAATGCATGCACTGCAAAGATGTAATCTGAAGTGACATCCCAAGGATCCCTGAAAGTCCTTGCTCATGCTTGTCGCAACTATTTAATCCCATGTTCTTTAACAGCCAAGAAATGACTGTGTTGGGGGTTGGGGGGTTACATGGCATACAAGGTGGGTTGGGGTGTAAAAGATGTAGTTATGAAGATGTAGCTAGGCAAGACTTGTATATTTCCCCATGTAGGATCTATACCATTGTTTGTTTATCCAGTTCCGTGAAGCAAGAATAAATTGTATCAGTTTCTCATTGAGAACAAATTCAGGGCTTGTCTACATGAATACAATACTCCTTATTAGAACTGAATAGACTGTGATCTGGTCACATGTGATTCAGAGGAATTTGGACTTTTTTGGGGGTGGGGGGCTCCATAAACTCTGCTGAAAAAGGATTCATGTTTTTTTATCGGAGTATCTGTATCTGCATGGATGAGCATTACCAAACATGTGGCCATTCATTCGCTTTGCATGAATTCACATAGATTTGCATGGCTGACCATTTTCAGCAGAGAGAGGGTGGATAGATACAAATTTGCACAGGAAAGTGAAGACAACTAAACATTGATGATCTTGAGGACCTTTTCTAGTTCTTTCATAGCTGCCCTCCTCATTCTCCCCATGCATAGGTTTAGTCTCCATTATATGAAATGCTTGGGACCAGAAGTATTTGGGATCTTTTCAGATTTCTGAATACAGTTGGCCCTTCATATCCACAAATTCTTTATCAATGGAGTCAAGCTTCCATGCCTTGAAAATATGTGTGTGTGTGTGTGTGTGTGTGTGTGTATTCCACAAAGCAAACCTTGATGTTGTCATTTTATATAAGGAACACCATTTTACTATGCCATTGTATTGAATGAGACTTGAGCATCTACAGACTTTGGTATCCACAGGGGGTCCTGGAATCAAACCAATGGCCCACTGTATTGGCATATATATATATATATATATATATATATATATATATATATATATATATATATATATATATATATATATATATATATATATATATATGCCAAACATGGAATTCATTTGTTTTGTATACAACTTGTACACATGGCCTGAAGGTAATTTTATACACGATATTTTAAAAAATATTTTTGTGTATGAAACAAAGTTTGTGTACCTTGAACCATCAGAAAACAAAGGTGTTATTATCTCAGCCACCCATGAAAAAAAAAATTGAGATTTTGGAATTCTGGGTTGAATATTAAAGTGTATTGTATATCAAAATGGACATTTTGGTTTAGTAACATATATATAATCTATATAATTGATTTAACTTTTATGCATTAGGATCATCTATGCAAGTTGGGGAGTATTTTCTATGCCCAATAAAGATACCATTGTATGGAGGATTAAGATCAGAGTTTAACACACACTTTTTGTAGTGTGGGGTATTTCTTGACCCTAATTAGAATGTCAATGTTTTCCCCGGTGGAAGAAATTTTAGTTTCCATCAAACAGGGCCAATGTACTGAAAATTAGAGGACATGATTTCTTCACTGCATAATGCTAAAAAAACAATAATGAGAAATGGATCTATCCCTCCTCCCACATTACACTAGCTGGGGAGGGATGGGGGGGGGAGAAAAGAAAAAGGCAACAGATTTGTTCACCTTTTTTTGTGGGGGAGTAACAATTATGTTTTTAAAAAACTGGACATGGCAAGCAGCTGCAATTTGGAGAAAATATTTGCAAATGTTGAGGTGACAATACTGCAGAATGTCTCCACTGCCCATCTGGTTTCGTGCGGCTTCTGTGAAGATGGGATATGGAGATTAAAGTTGCTCTAATTTTATTAAATATCATAGTAAGTAGTACAAACAGCAACTAGAATAATCTTTTAAATTTTTAATTAATATTTTCCCAGTTACAAATATTATTTAACGTATAGATGTAATATTCAATTCTTCCTTCCCCATTCTGCCCACTTCTCCACCTCAGTGAATAAGCCAATTGTAAATTTAATTCACTATAAATTTAAGTCATATTCAGAGTATTGATGAATGGGTCATACATTGTTCTTAACTTTCAAAATATACTTTGCCAGAAAAGTCTGATCAGCTGGTAGGTTAAATCCAGAGTTCACGCAAGTAACCTAAGTAATAAGAGCTCTCCAATTTTCTTCCAATTTATCCTCTTTGATTTCTCTTTTTGCTACTCTCATTTTATATATTAGCTTTTATGATAGTACTATAGACCACATTCTACTTATCCACTTTTATAGTGGATGTTTTCCATGATATTACAATTTCAAATCTCGTAGCACTTCACAGGAGTTATATAAGATAAGATTATTTAGCAATCTTTCATTTTCATGTTCAAATATGGAAATTCTCTATAATGTATTCTTTGTTCTAACATTTTACTTACCCAATTTAGTATTCCCCCTGTAGCAGAAAAATAGGACAGAAACTAACTACCTGCTAAGTATACATATAAGCATTTACATGAGAAAGTATATGGGACAACAGATGGAAAGAATTGGGATACAGAAAAGTTCAGAACATTAAAGACACATATACCTTATTAGAAGGGGAGGAAAAACCCAGCATTCTCAGATTGCTCCCTGTAACAATCATGGGTTTGAGAAAAATATAATTAAAATGAGAGGCGTTATGTAGATGCAAAATGGACATTTCAGTCTGTTATGTAGCACCTCTCAACACGTTATGCAAAGGGATTTCTGAGTGAAAATTCTTGTACAAATGCATGACAAGTCTTATTAAGAAAAATGTATAACAGCATTTCCCCTACTAATTAACTACTAATCAATAGTAGTAGTAAAGTTTATTTAGTCATTGAGCAACAATCAACCACTAATCAATTCAAAAATGCACTAAAAATAAATACAAGTCTTATTAAGAAAAATGTATGACAACATTTCCCCTACTAATTAACTACTAGTCAATACAAAAATGCACTAAAAAATAAATACAAGCATGCAAACATCCAGCTATATATTTATGCTCCCTTGACCTTTATGTTTAGTTTCTTCAAAGCATTTTTAAATCCTTGTTCCTGAGGCTGTAAATGAGAGAATTTAGCATGGGGATCACTACTGTATAGAAAACGGACACTATTTTGTCCCTTTCCAAGGCATAGCTGGAACTAGGACAGGAGTAGATGAAAAGAGTGGAGCTATAATAGCAAAGCAAAGCAAAGCAGCTTCATTTATATACTGCTTCATGCCACGCTATGGGGTGTCTAAGCGGTTTACAACTGTGAGCTGATTGCCCCCCAACAAGTTGGGTACTCATTTTAGCGACCTCAGAAGGATGCAAGACTGAGTCGAGCCTCAGCCCTGGCTGGTATTGAACTCGCAACCTTGATGTTTTATGAGTGAGTGGCTGCAGTACAGGCATTTAACCACTGCACCACCAGGGCTGATAATACAAAGTGACAGCAGAGAAGAAGCAGTAGGTGAACTGCACAGGTGGAAAAGGCTTTCAGTCTCCCTTCATTGGAATGGATTCTCAAGATAGCTGCCAGGATGAAGGCATAGGAGGTCAGGATAAGTGCTGAGACGGCAATTACATTAGAGGCCACGATGAAGTACAATACAGACTGATAGCTCTTAGGAACATTAGAAGCTAACTTGACTAATGGAGGTAAGTCACAGAAGAAGTCATTGATGATGTTGCCATCACAGAAGCTCAAGGTGAAGGTTTCAGTAGTGATTATTGTAGCATTTATGAAACCAGAGAGATAGGACAGAGCCACCAACCTTGTGCAGACCTTTTTGGACATGACAGTGCTATATAGCACTGGGTTACCAATGGGCTACATAATGATTGTAAGTCATAGCTAATAATAATAATAATAATAATAATAATAATAATAATAATAATAATAATTTTTATTTATATCCCACCCCTCTGCCACGCAATTGGGGCGGTGTACAGCATATTAAAACACCCACACATGGCATGGTCCCTGCACACATATGTTAATAATAACAACCCTGTATGGTAGCCAGTGTGGTGTAGTGGTTTGAGTGTTGGACTAGGACTCTGATGACCAGAGTTCAATGCCCTGGCATTGCTTTAGGACAGGTCTAAGAAGTCACAAGGAAAACTGTGCCCTTGCGTTTATCTTGTGTAGGTTCTTTTCCTATGTATTCTATCTCCCTCCTCTGCATTCCTCTTTTGGCATATGTGTATATATTTACTGTTTTTATATACCAGACAGGCTTCTTATACAGTTTTATCCTGCTGCTCTTTTCTATAGTATATCTGATCCCCTTAGTCTTGTCCTATTGATGAATTTCCTTTTCAAATTAAATGAAGATGCCTTATCTAAAAATGAGAAGGGGCTTGTGCCAGGCACCACATGGGGCACCATTAAGAAAATGTGTGTGTATATTATCAGAAGTAAAGTTTCTCAGATCTCCAGTCCCTCGTTTTTGCCACTATGAGCAGGCATAAGGGCTAAGCTCTGCTTTTCCCTGCCATGGAAGCAGAAAGTTTGAAATCCTGTTGCCCTCATCCTCTTACCCCCTTTTCATTTCTTTTTCTCCCATAAACATAGAATCCTGATTTACTTAGTCTAGATCAGTGCTACTCAAAGTGGTGGTCCATGGGCTATTTCTTTCTTTCTTGGAAATTCACCCAGAACCTGCAGCCAATGGCTCATGGACTGAGCCATTGGCTGCAGGTTCTGGGTGAGTTTCCAAGGAAGAAAGAAACACTTGTAATCAATAGGCACAAATGTGGTATCAATTGCTGCCACAGTAGAAAAATATCTCATACCAATTCCTGGCACAAAGAAATATTGCTAGTCCCTCACAGCTGATAGCTTGAGAAGCACTGACCTACTATGTATATATTCATGTCTAAGTCTAGAAATTTTTAAAAAATCAGCCTAGAAAACCTAGGTCAGCTTATCCATGGGGAAATGTAAGTTCTGTACCTCACTTCTTATATATATATAAAAAAGGAATGATCCCCTTCTCTGAGTAGAATGGTGAAAGGTGAGAGTTTAGTCTGTCCTAGGAATACCTAAAAGAGACACCCATCTCATCTACTCTCTCTGCTGCAGTAACACTTCTGACCTTTTTCAATGTCTTAAGCTTATCGCACGGCACTTACAAGAATGGGAATGGAAGGGAATGGAATGGAGCAAAAACACATTTTACTGCACAGGAGAATGCCACCGATGCCTCCGGAAGTCTCCAAGGCATTCCCCAGCTGTTCCTGGCAGCCGATTTTGAAGAACAATTTTGAACCATCCTTCAAAAATCGGCTGCCAGAAATGGCTGGGGAACACCTTGGGGACTCCCGGTGGCATCGGTGGCATTTTTCCGTACAGTAAAATGCGTTTTTGCTCCATTCTGTTCCCTTCCGTTCCGTTCTGTTCCCGTTCCTTAAGTGCGGTGAGATAAGCTTAAATGTGTGGGAAAATGACAGTGAGGGCAGCTCTTTAGTGCTTCCACCTCAAAGGAACAGCAAGAGGAACTGGGATTTGAAGGATCAAAATAAGACATTTGTGTATGTTTGTCAGTTTTTCTGGGTTAAAATCCATCAGTTATCACATTAATTAATCACTGCTAACATTATCGCCATTTTCTTTACTTTGCCTTTCCCCATCACATAGCCACCATTTAGCATAATTTCTTCCTCATCCATCCAAACTTTTGGGGAAACACAGTTACACCTGCCAGAATTTTGTAAGTGCTTTAGCATAATTTTCCTTTGATTTGTCCTTTACACCCTTTGTTACAAGCTTTTAGGCTTCTGTTCCACTCCAGTCCTCCCTGTGAGGACCACACAATGAGTACAGGACATGATCCTTCCCATTGGCTTTTGGTTCACTGAGCTATGACTGGTTATGATCTCAATAGTACCCTCTTGACCTAATGTTTTCCAGATTTCACTTTCTACTTTTTTCTGTTGAAGCAAATATCCTACGGATGGCTAACTGTGGCTGCTGAAAAGGAAGCAATGACCCTGTTCATGTCCTGGTTTTGAATATATTACAGATGCTTCTCATTCATTTTAATCAGACTACTCTCGGCTATATTTCAGAGGAAGGAACTATCAAAACCACCTCTGGATATTCCTTGCCTAAGAAAACCCTATGAAATTCATGGGGTCACCATAAGTCGACAGCTTGAAGGAACACAACAGCATGCACATGGAATAGTAAGGAATAGTATGGTTCTGTCAATTGCCAGAACTCACTTTTACATGCCTGCAGTTCATCTCCCATAGCAACATCCATCATTCAGAAAATGCTTGTTCAGCATTGAAGGCTGACTTAAGCCATACTTTTAAGCAATGGAAAGTCCCTAGCATGGATTTTTCTTTTTTCTTTTTTGGTCTTTGTTGTCTCAGTTCTGATTAAGAAGATATCTCTCCTTCTCAGAGTTTCTAAATTTCCTCAGAATTTTTACCCCAAACTCTGGCTTGACAAAAGCTTCTCTCACTCGCTTTGAACCTGTTCCCAACAGAAAATAGTGCCAGAATCTTTAGACCCTGCTCTGGATCTGTAGATGCTCAACCCAAATTCTTTCATCTTCTCAACTGTCTCCTAAATATTTTCAGCTTGGCAAATCACACATGTGCTATTTATTTATCCAGCTCAGGGACCCAGATAACTGATGTAAGGATTGCATTGTAGTGCTCACGGAAAGCCAAGAAAATACATATTTCCCAAAGGTATTCTGCCTTGTCACTCCTTGCATTCCATCCTTACAGAGGTAATTATAGAAGTTTGTTACAGTTCTCTTGAAACTTTTCCCAAATCAGATCATAATGTACAGAAAATCATTCACAGTATTGGCAGTCCCCCACGTTATTGCAGTCAGCATCCTCAGCCAAATGCAGAAAAATGCTTCCTTTGAGATGTCACTTTTGGTTTTCCCCTTCCCATTTTCAATATCTGATGTTAGCATCTTGTGTCAATTACCATACCCTGTAAGAAATACAGTGATATTACAATTCCTTATAGCAGGGAGGAAACAGATCTTATCAGTGTCCCAGCATTAAAAGCATATGAAATTGCACACGTATCCTGATTGTCTTGTTGTGTTAATTTGACTGTGAAAGCCTAAAGTGATACCAATCTGTTTCTTTTCAGAACAATTGAATGTTATTATACTATCCTCATTGCAGAATCAATGTGATTCACCGTGCTTATCTAGTAACCTAGAAACATGGAGTGAAGGAGAAATGGGAAAAAAAAACCTTTGTATTTCTAATTTCTATCAGGCTTACTATCTCATATGTATTCTTTATGTTTATGTGGCTGAATCAGCTTATGTGGGCATATTAAACTCCTCACCTTCCATCCTTTCCATTGTAACAGAGACACGCTGGTAAGGCCTAATTCCCACTATGATTTAAAGTGAATTGCTGATCAGGTTATATGACCATCGTTCCCACTTGAAAACGGTTCTGATCCTACTGTGCTCGGTTTCAATTGCGACGAAGCAAGGCAATCACAAAAAACCCTCTGCTTCCTGACACTAGTTTTTTTTGTGGTTCTTTTGAAAAAAATTGATTCAGAAGCATGTTCAGCAAGTGGGAATGATGGATCTGAATCGTATCATTCTGGAGGGGAGGGACTAATGGGACAGGGGTGTTTACCATTCCTCCTCAGTTTTGGTGAAATCAGCCATTCCTGCCCCCCACCATGCTGCCTTTGTACTTATGGTATGACCTATGGGCAGAATATGTGATCCATTGTATTTGCAACTACTTGCAATTATGGGCAGACTGCAGCTCAGTAAGGCAAGTAGTTGCAAAACCAATGATTGCATATCCTGTAAAAAAATTTTAAATAGTCCCCAAATCAGGCTGCTCAAAGGGGAAATGGTATGCTTGAGCAGCCTGGGTTTCTGGGGGGCAGAAGAAGGCTCAGTTGCTAAAGTCACCCCACTAGATGCCTGGAATGGCCCAATCCTCACCATGTTGCTGCTTGTGTAACCAATGACATGCAGATGATTGACATGCATTTTGAAGTGGTGCAAACTAGTGGGAATAACAATCATGCTAAAAAAGAAGCAATTACAAGGGAATAATGAAAAGATCCACTTTTCTACTTCCTATCTCTTTGGGACTCTGGTGTCTGGTGATTGCTGAAAAGATAGGTTATCAACGGTGGTGGTGTGGCAACTCCATGTGTCTCCCGCCAGTGCTGCTATTGCCTATCTCTTTGGGATGCTGGTGACCCCTGAAGGGGTGGACAGTAGCAGCAGTGGTGGCAGAAACTCCATGTTTCTGCTACTACCTCCTTCTCTTCTTTGCTGCCTCCTATTCCTCCACCTCCCTTTCTCACCTGCCTGGCAGCCTCTTCCAGGTCTAGAAGGGCTGCTGGCCAGGCGGTAAAGGGAGGCAGAGGAAAGTGTTGGAGTCCATAGCTGCTGAGGTTCAGAAGGTGAAGGAGACACTTGCCTTGCTCACTGATGGTGACTGTGAGCTTGCATCTCCTTTCTCTGTCTGCTGAGGCGCACCTCGCCCTATGCCTTTGATGTTTGGGGAGCAGTTGTGTCACCCAGTGTGGCCCTCACCCCCCACACCTCTTAGAGATGCTCCAGGTGGTAATGTTCCTTTTCACAAGCATTTTTGTACAGTCAAACCACTATAAATTTCCCTGTAACTCTTTCACATCCCTAGTTACTACTGGGATGGCAAAAATATTGCTACATGAAAACATATGTTCTTGTCCTTTCATTAGATGCTAAAGAAAAAAAAAAAGAGGTGAGCAGCACCAATTATAACATCTAGTTCCACCTCAAAAACTGGAAAATTTACTCTTGGGTACCACTCTCGGTGCTGGCTAGAAGATTCTGGGAGATATAGCCTAAAAAGTGATCTGTCCAGGTTCTGTTCCACCCTATGTGCTAAAAGCATGTTGCCTGAGATAATCTTTTGGTTTCATTATGTAGCCTGCTGCATGAATGTCAAATGAGGTCAAATTAGTAACATAAATTAAGCATTGACACTACAAGTTGATGCCAAGAATTGGTTTTACTTTGGAGTAAGTATGTTTTCCCCAGACGTCTTTCTGTATGTCTTTCCACTGGTGAAGCCAATTTTCACACT